ATTGGATTTCAAGCCAGTCAGTGGAATACAATTTTCAGTATAATTAACCTCTTTTAGTATAGTTAAAATGGTGAAACATTAAATATTCAGACTTATTTACTAATTTCTATTTTTTCCCCGTCATGCCAAGTCCAATCTGTCCTTTCAGTTAATGTCATGAGATACAAATTAGGATCTCAGAGTTGATATTGAGTGGAAACTGGCAATAAGTTGTTAAAGTTGGCTAATGCTGAAGAGGCTGGTTTACTGAATCAATGCTGATATTTTGAAGTAATGTTCGTGAAATTGAGAAAGCTAGAATAAATAGAATCATCGTCTAACTTGTGAAAAACTTGAACATCTGATTTTTGGAACTTTTTTTCAATCTCATTGAGGATGTCTTTTAACCTTCTACTGTTCTATGTGTTCTATAATATGTTGGGCTGCTGTTTGTTCTCTGGTAGATTTCCTTCTCCCAATAAAAATGTACTCTAGATGCCTATTTCCATTCATAAGCGTAGTCCTGATTTAGTTGCCTAGCTTTCAATCAGTGATCCCCTTAATCTACATATTACTAGGTTCCGCCATTTAGTATTACATTATGCTACTCACATAGAATGTTAAATGTGGACTGTGTAACTAAAAGCACCTAATTATATGTATTGTCTGTATTTGTGTCTATTTTCCGGGTGAAAAACAATAAACAGACGTAAAATTATTTCAATTATAAAACATTTCACCTGAAAAAATTATATGAATCATATTTCTGATCTTTTAACATGGAAAACAAATGAAATCCATTGAAGGTTGGTCGAAAAAAGCTTCAGCTCTGCCCTTTATTATCAGTTGGAAACTCCAAATTAATTGATTATTTACTGTTCATACGTAATCATGAGGTTCAACTTGGGCAGCTCAGATGTGTACTCGTATGATGAGGATGCAAGTGTTGTGGACCCACTTCTAGCACAGCATCTGCAGCATTTCGGTATTGACTTTTCATCATTGCAAAAGGTTAGAGGCTAGGCAACTTTATTACTTAACATTGCTTTTGTTTCATAAATCTCATTTGACTTAAGGCCTACGCCGTCATGGTATATCATCAAATGAAACTTGTCTGTAGCACTGGCATTTCTTCTTCGAATCTCTGTAATCATCTACGTCATCATCATAGTATACAAATATTGCTCCCTTATATAATATGTTTTCTGCGTTATCTATTGTTAAAGAAAGTCAATCACTGTAATGAACAATGGACTTGGTTTGGTGTTTTATTAGACTGAAATGACTACTGCTGAGAGAGAACTTGATCATAACACCAATTTTGACTGGAACCGTATTCAAGAGAGTGGAGAGGACATTGAGCCACTTTTTGGACCGGGTTACACAGGACTTGTAAATCTTGGCAACAGGTTTATTATACTCTGTTGAATTATTACTTTATTCGAGTGTTGTCCTTTCCGGTTGTAACTCTCAATTATTGTTTTTGCAGTTGTTATTTGGCTGCAACTATGCAGGTTATGTTCTCTACACGTGGATTTTGTTCTCGGTCGGTATTCGCTGGACTTTTAGATCCATATTAACCTTTGACTTTATCTAAGCTATAATGGTTTGTGATTGTTTTGTTGGAGATTTATTTTTTCTACTTTATGTTCTCTATAGATATTATTTGGATCAGAATTTGAAGTCTGCGTTTGATGCTGCTCCAGCTGATCCAACTGTAGACCTAAATGCACAACTGTGAGTTGACAGCTTGAAGCATATTAAGATATAGCCGTTACTGCAACATAGCAACATCCTTGACATAATGTAAAAGAGTTACTGGGGAGTGTCTCCTTTCTCTGGCATTGCATGATCTGATAGTGTCTTTGTTAAATAGTTTCCTTTTATCTGTCTTGGATGTTATAACATTCCTTTCCTCTTTGTAGTTGGTAGGGTACTGGTGGTAATCTCTCTGAAATGCACTTGACATAAGTTCATATAGTGACAAACAAAGTGTATAAACAGCTTTAACTCGCTGTAATTCTCCTTATTATTGATTGAGAAATTCCTCACTTTTCAGAACTAAGCTAGCTCATGGGTTGCTTTCTGGTAAATATTCTGTTCCGGCTATGAAGGTATGTTCGGTGTTAAGGGTTTTTTTTTTTTTTTTTTTTTTTTTTACCTCTCTATTGATGCAGACTAAGAGTACTTTGCTTTTCTCTGCCAGCTAGATAACACAGGAGATGCACCACAGGCGACATTGATTGCTGTGAGAACTTATTCATTTAGTGTTGTCATTTATCTATTGTGTTTTTTACTGTTGGATCCATCAGTCTTGTCACCATTTGTGGTTTAGTTTGTAGCGGAGTTTGACAGAAATAATCCACAAACTGTGAAATACTTTCTATTGTTCTTATAAGAGTATTTGACATATGTTGAACTTTTATAAAATGCATTCTGACTCTTCAATCCTGAGTGTTTTACTGCCTTTGATTTCAGAAACAAGAAGGAATTCCTCCTCGCATGTTCAAGTCTGTAATTGCTGCAAAGCATCCTGAATTTTCGACTATGAGACAACAGGTTTCGCGACTTTAGAATCCTGTCTACAACTAATTATCTTTCAGATAATAATAGTATGTGTATACAAACGTTCTTATGGTATCTTATTAGTGATGATTGCCACTTCCCATAAATTTCCCATTTGTCGTACGAACTTCACGGTGAATTGTAACTTGCCTCCCAACATTCTGAAGTAGTTAGATATCACATCCGTTTGATAGAACTAATTTTGTGAATCGACTATGAAGTCTTTGGTTTCTCACTGTCCTGTATTTTTATGTATAGTTGACAAATAACTGCTTTACTTTGCTGGGTAGATATTGTATGAGCTACAGAATGGAACATTGCATCACCTACAAGAACTTCTTTTTTTTTTTTAGTTTCTTCAGTGTTATCTATGATCGTGTATCATATACAGTGTTGTCTGACAAGGTTCTTTTGTCCAGGATGCTCTTGAGTTCTTCCTGCATCTTATTGACCATGTTGAGCGGGTCAACACGGGAAATCCCATGTTGGACCCTTCAAGGAGTTTTAAGTTTGGCATAGAAGAACGATTGCAGTGCCCCTCAGGAAAAGTTGCATATAACCGGAGATATGATTATATTCTTTCGCTTAATATTCCTCTGCATAAAGCTACAAACAAAAGTGAGTTCAGTTCAGTATTAATATGCTATTATGTCTTGATTAGGATAGAATATCCTTTAAGACCACATTTCCTTCTTGTCAGGGGAATTAGAAGATTTTCGGAAGTTGAAAGCTGAAAGAGATGCAAGAGGAGAAGAACTGTGAGTTAAAATATACATATATGTTATTTTCTTGTTTATCCGTTTTCTAAGTAATTTGTTTGGACCAGGACGTCCAAAGAAATTGTCCGCCCAAGAGTGCCGTTGATGGATTGCTTGGAACTTTTTTCTACTCCTGAGGAGTTGCATGATTTTTACAGCAGTGCTTTGAATTCTAAGACAACTGCAATTAAGTAAGCTTTTCTAGAGTTTTATTTCTTTGTCCCCTTTGTATCTCCAGCGTAATTTCTGACATACAAAGAATGGTACTGCAAATAATCACGCGGACTGTACTGCATAGTGCATAGACTTTAAGCTGTATGTTTGGGCTTTTATTTAATGTACATGTTTAAAGTGTCTTTTATGCGTCCCTGACAGAACTGCAGGCCTGACATCATTTCCTGATTATCTGGTATTGCACATGAGAAAATTTGTGTTGGAGGAAGGATGGGTACCAAAAAAGCTTGGTGTGTACTCATGTTGCTATTTTATTCTTTACTGATGTAATTCGTTAAAGTTCTGCTGCTCACAGTTATTCATTGTCTTTCATTTTCTCTTGTTTTTGTTGGATATCTTAGATGTCTATATAGATGTTCCTGATACCATTGATATTAGTCATATGCGCAGCAAAGGTCTTCAACCATGGGAGGAATTGTTACCTGAATCTGGTGCGTGTTCTCTATATGGTTCTCCTTTGATTTTTTTTGAATTATCTTTAATAGGTATGAAAGGAATTGAGCCTGGTTCTGTATCAATATTTCTTTCTTTGACTGTGATTAAGAATCGATATTGTGTCTTCTTGAAGCTTCGATAAACTGTCTCATATTTCTTACTGCCTCAGGTAGTGCTTTATGATACAATTTTGCTTTGGTTGCTCCTTCAGTCTAAAGTGTTCTTGAGGTTATTACTTGGGATATTGTGGATATTTGAAAACCCAAAATTACGCGGTTTCCACCGAATAAAAGTGAAAACTGTCCAATAGTCTTAATTTATCTCTTGGAAATGAAAAGCCTTTGCAGAATGAAAAATAGTTTGCCTTTCAGTTAGAAGTTTAGGGTTTGAGTGGGACCTTTTGAGTTTTTCTTGCAAGATTGCTTTAGCAACTGGGTACTGTGGTTGCTACTGAGTTTTTCTTTTCATGGGAATAAAAAGATATGTATATCTACATATGCTTTGAGATTGTTATTAGTCAATTTCCATGTAAATTTGTAGCTCCAGAGGATTCTGGAATAAGTGCCAATGAGGACATTGTTCAGCAACTTGTCGCAATGGGATTTCAGTATAATCATTGCCGAAAGGCTGCTGTCAGCACCTCCAATTCTGGACTGGAAGAAGCAATGAATTGGTTACTCAGCCATATGAATGATCCAGGTATTGCACGTCTGCCAGTATTGCAGAGTTTATGTAATAGTTCTTGGTTTATCATATTGATACTTGAAAATTTTCATCAGACATTGACGAACCCATCACAAAGGCACAGAATAGTGCTCCATATGTTGACCCATCTAAAGTTGAAACTTTAGTATCTTTTGGTTTCGAAGAAGATGTAGCTAGGAAGGCACTACAGGCATCGGTAAAACACTTCACCCTGCTTGTTCTGTTTCATTTTTTCTCTTTGATTTAATTTTTCTAGACGAAACTAAACTTTTATCAGTGTTTAATGCCAATTGTCATTTTTTTTTACAGGATGGTGATATTGAAAAAGCTACTGAATGGATTTTTAACCCACCTTCTGGTATCTCTAGTATGGATGCTACACCTAGTAACAGTGGAAATGTGGCCGAGGCTCCTTTGCCTGATGGAGAAGGAAGTAAGTTCTTCACTTTTGTATAACTCTTATGAGCTTCTAACGCTTTCTCTACCATATTTTGAACAGATCCTCTGTCTGTAGTCTAGTAACTTGGGTTGTGATACTTCTAGTCTGTTCTAAATAATTACATGCCTAGCCTCTGTTGGACATGATCACCATAAAATTTATTCTTCCCAAAATGTTGGGTTTGCGGATTATAAGTCCCTTAGTAGCCCAGAGCTCATCAAAGGTTAAAAAGTGGAAACTTATCCATGTGATCACTGAATTTCATAGTTTTTGTCTGATGTCCGTAACAAAAAGAAGGCATCAACTCTTCCATTTATTTCCTTTAATTGTTTTGGCATTATGGGTTTAAGGATATGAGAGACGAGTGGGCGTTTGGTGTTTTGAATGTTCATGGAAGTGCTTCTAAATTCACGTGTTCATGTACTTTTTGTACTAAATCTTTTTTGTTACCTTGCCACAGGATACCGGCTCATTGGATTAGTGAGCCACATCGGCACATCCACGCACTGTGGGCATTATGTTGCGCATATTTATAAAGATGGTAGGTGGGTGATTTTCAATGATGAGAAAGTTGCTCTTTCCAAGAATCCGCCTCTCGACATGGGATATTTGTACTTCTTTGAGAGGATTGATGGCTGAACTACTCAATTAAATACCAGCTGCTGGACACTAGTGATATTCAAAAGCTTGAGGAAAAAATAAAACATTATTTGCAAGTTTTCTGGAACTTTTCAAAGCTTATGCTACTTTTCTTGAGTGTCCTTGACCCAATGCGGTTACCCACCCAGGGGATACAAGAGATGTTCTTGTGAAAATACTCTGTTCTTTGTTCAACTTTGAAGTGATATTTGCCTTTTACAGACTAATTTGTTCACACATGGTGCTACTACTATCGGGCGTAGACAATGGTTCACATGAAATTGTAGTACATGATACTGCTTTTGTTCTGCCTCCGCGTTTTCCTCACTATTTACTCGGTGCTTTTCAATGTTCTTTTAGGGATACAAACATTTTGCCCTTGAGTTCTCATGAAATTTGCTACTATAATATAAATATATATATTTTAGGTATGAACCAATCAAATCATGCTGCGTGTCCACCACATGGGGATTTGATTCTCCATGTGGAGCCTTACTGACCAGGCTTTTCGGAGGAATGAGGGGTCTCGACATATGAACTTCAACTCATCACTTTCGCAGCCTCGACCTCTTTAAAGTTGGTTGTAGAACCATCCAGTTGTTTCTTAGCTGTGGAAGAACGACTTGAAGCATCACCCTAGAAGGGCTTCTTTTGCTTCTTCACCTCGAAGCATTGAAGGTAACAATCTGCAAAAGAAATGAATGATGAGAACATAAATAAACACTTAAATATCAGGACAGTGAAAAAGACAACATAGGGGTTTAAATAAACACTTATATGTGTTAGAAAAAAAAAAAATGAAAAAAACGACCTATCGAGGTTGAGTTTAAAAGGAGCATCGCTCTCTTTGGTTATACCACACTAGTGTTGCTATGTTAGGGCTGCAAACGAGCCGAGCCGAGTCGAGCATTGGCCTTATCGAGCATGATTGATTTTTTTTTTTAGCTGCTCGAGCTCGACTTGATAAAAAAAATACAAGAGCTCGAGCTCGACTCGAATTCAAAATGCTCGAGCTCGGGTCGAGTTCGGTTCGAATTTTTTCAAAAAAATTGTAAATAACCATTTAATACATATATACACAAGGGGTATTTTAGTAATTTCATATATCTCGAGCTGCTCGCGAGCCGCTCGACAATGCAAAATATGGGCTCGAGCTCGACTCGAGTTCGTGCTCGAGCCGCTCGAGCTCGGCTCCAGTTCGGTCAAACTCGAGTTCGAGTCGAGCTTTGATTCGAGCGCTCGCGAGCAGCTCGACTCGTTTGTAGCCCTAGCTATGTGGGATCCATAATCATCTTGCGGGCACTCCAGGTCTTCTTATTCAATTCTTTTATCATCTCCACGAATTGAATAGATCGCGGTTTATTACGTTGAGAAACCTTCTCGGATAGCCAGGAGTAGGTAAAAGAATAGTATCTGGAAAGAGGTCGAACAAAGAAAAATTTCGACCTCCACTCAGTGACATTGGAGGACAAGTCGTCCAAGAAAGCAGCCCCGCTACGATGACCTAAATAGTGAGTCCCTTTTTGGAACTTCTACCCGTAACAATAGCAGAAAAATTCAGGTTAGAACTTGCAAAGTTTTATTTTGGAAATCATGATGAAGGAGACCGTGATACAGATGGCGTTAGTAGTAATTTGATTAATGGGAATATTGTACAAGTTGTTAAGGGTCATCAACTCATATTGAATAGGAAAACAGAGACCCAAGAGTACTTGGTGAACAAAAATATTATAGCAGCCTCTCGGAGGATGGAGTAATCATCATTCGGGCCAGGGATGGCAAATCCCAATCGGATGGCAGCTTGTAGTATGACCTAAAGCCCACGATCTCGACTGCAGGAGCATAACAAACGGGATATAGAGTTGCTACTTTGGCTAAAGGGCAAGCTATTGTAACAACAAGATAGTTTAGATCAAGGAGCAGAACAATTGTTGGTACAAGAATGGGACTAGCTATATATACAGGAATATCTAACACTCTAATGGTATGATTGGTATGATGGAATGAAATTTCGTAGGAATGGAATGAATTGAAGAATGGAATGATTATGAGAATGGAATGAAACATGTTTTGTCATTGATGCGCTTGGTATGCAGAAGGAATATGACTGGAGTGGAATGACATTATCATTTTTTATTATAAAAATAAATAAAAGCTTTTATTAAAAAATAATATACTTTTAATAAATTATATATAAATGATTTTTTAATAATATATAAAAATAAAGTAATATATTTTTAATAATATATTTTGAATAATATATACAAATAGAATAATATATTTTTTATTAATATTAAAAATAATATATTTTTAATAATATATTTTGGATAATATATAAAAATAGAATAATATATTGTTTAATAATATAAAAAATAATAAATTTTTAATAATATATAAAAAGAAAATTATATATTTTATTTTTTAATTAAACAGTAAATAAAAGTATGATTTTAATTTTTTATTTGAATTTTATTTTTTAAAATAATATATTTTTAATAATATTTAAAAATAAAATAATATATTTTTAATATTTTTCAATATTTTTTATTATTATTTGTTAATTTTATTTTTTGAAAAGTTGATTCCTACACACATGGGAATGAGAAAACCTTCCATTTACTATGGAATGGTTAATCCCATGGAGATGGGTTTTGCCATTCCCATTGGAATGGTCATTCCTTCCCAAAAAATATACCAATTATGGGATTAAGAATGAGTAAGGAAATGATCATTTCAATCCCATGTCATTCATTTCTACCAATCATGCCATAATGGGAATACTTCGAGAAATGGACTCAAAACAAGGAGACCTAGGAGAAACCTCCTGAGAGTTTGACCTCAGAGCTCGATTATATTCATCCCAGTTGACTGCCCTAGTGGAATCATTATCCGACCCTCTAGAAGGGTCATGTTGAACTTGAACGAGCTCGTGGCCTACTATTTGGATAGAAGAGTCAGAAGAATCAGAGGCTCCATCAACCAGACGACTAACTAAGTCATGGGAGGAATTTATGGTACATTCCAAAATAACAAGTCGCAATCATTACATCAACCAAAAGGAAAGTGGAACATGACTAACTCGAGGTCACAGTAAGTACGTGAGACGACCTAGGGGACCAAATCTAAACATGCCCTACGTCAATAACCTAAGTCAACTTGAGAGAAACATGAACTTGCGTGGAAATTAAAGTAAATGAGATAAAAAAAAAAAAAAAATTT